TCGAAGTTTGGTGGAGCAACCATGTAGATCCTTTCTAGGTGTTAACCTTTTAGAACGAACCTGCTCTGATACCAATTGTTAGAAACTATGCGTCCACCAGACTGTATAGAGAACCGGGTTCTCTATGAGTTTCCACTGAAAATAAAACTATATAGCGATCTGATCCTATATCAGTTCCCATAGTGCTAACTATTGAACCAGTATGTAAATGAGATACATGATAAGTTCCCACTGTATAGAGAACCAGATTTTCTATAAGTTCCCACTGTAAGCAACAAATTGTAAAACCAACCAGTATATGGAATTAGGTTCTCTTATTGTTCTCGCAGTAGCTCGGCAGTAAGTAAAGAACACAGATGATTTTTTTGTGGAAACATCCCAACTCAAGGGGACAAAACCACGACCTACACTTGTAGGCTTTCAACTTCACTAACTTGTAAACCCCTATTACAAGCCACTTTGTAATGATATATTACAAAGGATTCAACTCAACTAACTTGTGGTACTCTCACCACAAGCCACTTTGTGACTCTCTAGTTACAAAGACTTTGACTAACTTGTGAATATTCTCACCACAAGCCACTTTATAATAACTCTATTACAAAGACTTCAATCACTCTAACTTGTAATAACACTATTACAAGCCACTTTATAACTCTCTAGTTACAAAGACTTTAACTTATGACTAAACCTAGTCACAACATAAACTGGAGAGTTTAGAATTTTGGTTTCCTAAAAACAGCTTCTAAAAAGCAAGATAGGAGTTACAATGAAAAAAAAATAACAAAGACTCAACAAACCTAATGACTTAAGATATCGTCAATCTTGGATCCGGTCCTTGAGGTTGAAATAGCTTTGTTCTTGGGAGAGGTTGTTGCAAGCACTTGAGAGAGTATTTTCGTTTTTGATTTTGCAAGTCTTGAACCTGAATCTTGTGCCTTGCATAAGGTTTATACTACAAAAGACATCACCTTAGTGATGTCAAATCTTGGTTAGTACATGCCTCTTCTCAATGGGAAGTGATTGCTGCACTGTCTGCTACACTGTCTGCTGCACTGTTGCAGTCAGTCACTTTCTGCAGTTGCTTTCCAGCTGTACAGTTCACCTATACTTCTGTCAGGGGAACACCAAGGGATCAGGTCCCTAATCTGGTTCCTGTGAATCTAAAGCACACTGCCCAGATTATCTTGAGTCGATTAACTTGAATGATTGTACCAGGCATGCTTCAGGTCCTTTATCTGGTTCTCTCATGAAGTAAGTTATTTTACCTTCCTTGATGGTATTTATACGTGTGTGACATCACTTACAATGATGTAAGTAAGATAGGTAAAAAGCCTTCCATAGAAAGTTGACTGCTGCACTGTTCCTGTGCAGTAGCGTGTGCAGGCAATAACTTTCCTACTGGAGAGTTGACTTCATACAGTCTCCTCGGGAACTGGTAGGGACCTGTTTCCTCAGCCGTTCCTTCCACTCTGAAAAGTTGAGTTATATTCCACGCTGGATCCCAACCTGGAACTTTGTGATCTCAAGGTCTTGTAGATGTATAACAGGTTCTTTATCTGGTTCTGGATGGTAAGTTTGTTAGATCATCAAAACATAAAGTAAAGTACGTATGCCCAAGGTACTTGTATCCTATCATTCTCATCTATCTAAGCTTTCGTACACTAATCAAGATACACACAAGCTCGTCCCAGTATTACCGTCATAAGAAGAACCTTTTCCTATAGGATTATAACCCGTGCATTGATAAGTACAAGACTTGACGCCCTTATATTCTCCAAAGGTTATACCTCCTCTAAAAGGTTTTGAAAAATAAGTGAGCAAGTAATCTTGCGCTTATTGTTTAAAAAGGGTAATTAGTGATACGTTAAATATTTCATGTAAAAAAGTTCATATATTTATTAGTTTTCTCTATAGTATCTAAACTTTAACAAAAAGGAAAAAAAAAAAAAAATTGAGTGCTCAAATCAAACAGTGTAACTTGACAAATGGACCAAAAAATGGTGAGATGACTTATAACATGACACATATGTTGCTTATGCATAAGTGAAAAGTAGGATTGGTGACCTCTTTTATACACAATTATTTATTTAACTTTTAGTTTTTTTTCTCCTTGAATCCACATTGCTCGAACCCAGTATTAAATTTTGCTCAAGTTGAAGTCCCGAATAGGTCATTCTTTCACGTTTTGTGACCCTTCAAAATCTTGGCGTGTAGAATTCGATTTGCATTAAACAATTTTTCCCCTTTTCTCTATGTGAGGAAGAAGAAAAATATTATTTTATGAAGTCGAGATCCTCATAAAACATGTGTTAGAGAATACACAAGTCCCACAACTATGTAACGATTTCTTAAAGAATCTACAATATTTTTGAAATACTTTACTCATTGCTTTAGTACTTTGTATGGGTTGACTGTTTAAATTTTTTCAGTAATTTTTAACAACACGTATGTATTTGAATTCTTACAGTGTATCACTCCGTTATAAGTTTGTGTTCAATACTATTACTCAATTTCTAAATATGGAAATGGACGGTGGAGAAAGTGGATGTACAGTGTAGGACTAGGATAAGGATGAGGTCTTTCTGCGTCATCATCCATTTATTTGAGAGAGACAACTCAGCTAGTAAATATGTAACTGACACGTGTAATGAATAAGAATCATGTCACCATCATCCCAATATGATATTATTCACGTCAACAGTTTCACCCCTGCTGAGGTCTATGGACTAGCATTCATCTTTTTTTTTGGAAAATATCTTTGCCAAAATACATACTTTACCTATTGACCTTGTCCCCAAATTCCTCTTACACATCTGTTAAAGACGAGAATCATATTACACATCAAAACTTTAAAGGTTTGTCAATTACACACCACCTCAGTGTTTGGTCATATCTGCTTAAAGATTGTTATTACACGCGCCAATCAACATCTGACACGTGTCATAAATGGAAAAAGAAAACCGAAAAACAAAACCTCCTCCTCATCTTCCCAAGGAAAAAAATACAGAAAATAATGGCACAAAAAATGAAATAGAAGGAGAAATAAGCAATTTATCTGGATTTATATACATGCAAATCAATAAGCATTGCTTAAGAATTCACAATTATACATTAAACTCACAAATATAGAAGAAAGCTCAATACATTTTTTTTTGTTGCCGTATTTCTAATGAATTTGATCCTTTGTCTCGTTTCCCACTTGGTATCTAGAAGCTCAATATATTAGGGCTCGAAGATGAGACCTCTAGTCAATGATGAATGGATCATATCCATCCCATCATACCCCTTGATGATTAATGATTTTGATCTGTAGCATTCGTCTTCACCAACAGGCCAAAACTCTTCATAAAGATTAGCTTTAGTTAACCTAATAATTAGGGTGGAAAGTATTAATCGGATAATTAAAAAGAAAAAAATGCAGTAAGAACAATCAAACGGTCAAGTTTTGCAATTTCAACTCTCCAAAGTTCAATTAACTAGTTAACGTGATCGTTAGGAAACTCGTAGTTTAACATTGATTTACAAATTCTTCAATTAGTGGCTATAGTATTTTAACTAAGATGTTCTAAAAGTAATAAATCTAATAGTGCTCGTGCATGAAGATCATTCAATTTGGCAGGTACGTTTATAAAATTAATTATGACGTGACTTCATAAGAATCTGTTGCCTCTTCGGATTGAATGGAATATGTTATCTTCTTGAAGAAATCAAGTAAGTCATACGTAAAGTTCGGATAATATATAGTACTAAAATGTACTATGGCTCTTCTAGAACCAACTAAAATATTCCTTGGGGGAAATGCCTCAAATTGCATCAATTTTACATGGATATTTACTTGCAAAGTTAAGTTACATAATGAACTTGTTGTAGGAATTCTATATACAAATTTCTAGAACAAAACTTTAAGCTACGGGGAATTTCATTCTTTTGGACAAACTAATAATATACTGGAGGTTTGCCTGCTTAACTTCTTAGGAATTTTTCTGCCGAAATATTTTCTTGCAATTTCAAAATTCATTACTTTGGATAATTAGTTTCATAACTCATGCAGTTTCCATCAATCGAATTTCAAAATATTCATATTCGAAAATTCGATTTCTTTTGTTGACAGCCAATGCTGTTCTTTTCTTATTTCACCTCAACTAGTTTAAAAAATAAAAATAAAAAGGGCAAAGCAGCAGTTAATTATACAAGCCTATTCTGAAATACTGATTCCGCTAGAGAAAAGAGTGAAAAAGGTGAAGTCACAAAAGTGTAAAAATAGAACGGTCTAGCCAGTTTTCGGACTGGTCATTTAAAAATAGCCAGCACTTACCAAGTCAATAAAAAATAGCCACTATTTTGTTGCAATAGAGACCGGTCCAGCATAAATACTGCAGTTCGGTGCACCTGTGTATGAACTTCCAGCATATTATGCTGGAACTCCAACACCGGAAAGTTCCACCATAATATACTGGAGATTCGAGCACTTGTGTATGAACTTCCAACATATTATACTGGACCGATATACTTTGCTGGAACTCCAGTATATTCCAGCATACTTATCCTGGAACTCCAGTATATCCCAGCATACTTATCCTGGAACTCCAGTATATTTTCCGGATTTTGAACAGTATTTTCGCTCAGATTTATCTTTACATGAAAAGTGGCTAAGTTTCGATTACTTTTGAAAATGAGCTATTTTTCACCGACCACTTGTAAATTTGGCTATTTTTGAATTTCTCCCCCACAAAAGTGGTAAGCTGCTTCCAAGACCTCAATCAACCAATCATCCCATGAGCACTTCATGCACAAATTTCCCAATAAAAATTTTGATCTCTTCAATTAACCAAGGTGAAGGTTATCAGGAGCCTGGTACAGACAAAAAGGGGATGGTGCGGAGAGAAAACGACTCGACCGCGTGGGGGTGGGGTGGGGGGGTGGTGGGGTGTACAATCCAGCACTAACCAAGTGCCATTAGCTTGATTCAGGTGTATTGATCACCTAGAGAACAAGGCAGGCTGGAAAATACAGAAGCTGTTGAATGAAACATTATTATCATTACACTGTTACATGCAGGCTCCAAACATTTGTATCATTATAAAATGAGAAGATAAAAGCAACCATCTTGAATGCACTACCAAAAAAGAACTAATATTAAATATCAGAGTCGGAGCTTTTCTCCTCCTTAGGTGGTGCAAACTGCCGGCTAAGCCGAGATCTTGTCCAGGGATCCATGGCTGGTCTCTGTGGAGGTTGAGGATTTGGTGGTTTGGATTGTCTAAGTTCATTTTCTCTATCAATAAACCTGCCGAGATAACAGAAAAATAGTCAAAGACAGTGTATGGATATAGTTGTCCCTTCAGAAACTTCTGAACCAGTATTCTACTTTCATCTTCTTCGTTTTTTTTTTTGGATAAGTACCAAGATCATCAAACCACTGCCCTCCCCCCCCCCCCCCACCCCCCACCACACACACACACACCCGCAACAGAAAGCCATTTCTCAGTATCTACTAGCAAAAGTGGTTTGCCTGTTAAAGTGAGAATCTTACTCTATGTAGGCCATTGGTGCAGCATCACCTACTCGAATTCGAGTTCGGAGCATTCTGGTGTATCCACCAGCTCTATCTCTGTAATATATAAGTTTCAAGATATTTAGAACCATATTTCTAATTAAAAAAATAGAGAAGAAATTTAATGGTTTGAAGTTCACTTGTATCTGTAAGCCAAATCAGTAAATAGCTTATGAATGACATCATCCCCACGCACAAAGGCAGCTGCCTGTCTTGCAGCAGATAGACTTCCCTGCAATAGTTCAAAAAGTGTGTCCATGTACAAACAAAGTTAAAGATAAACCCTCAAAACAGGACCATCACTCAGAAAACAAAGGAGAGAAAACAGAAAAATAACTACTGATATGATATGTATCAGAAAATTGCAGAGATAACTTTAGATTCCATCTCAAATCTCATTTCTGGGTTTTCCAGATGAAAAACGCACAAAGCTCACATTCCATTTTTAGTATTCATTGAAGTGAGATTTGGAACAAGAAATATGCGAAAAAGTGATAGTAGCCTCAGGAGTATTTTCACCTTATTTTCTAACTCAATTCGCAAAAGAAACCAACAAGACCAAGGTCAACCAGCTTAAGCTCCAATCATCAACAGCCAACACTACCTCTACAATCAAGAAACTAATCAATATTTCAAAAAGAGGCAACAATGTTTCACCCATTTCTTTAAATGTCAACCCTGTGATAACACTCTCTTAAATCAAACCCAAATAAAGAAACTCCTGCCATCTCGTTTTTAATCAAGGTGAACACCACTATGCTCTTTTTGTACACAAATTGCTCTTATTAGCAACATGACAAACATCATCTCCTTTGATTGGCCACTTTTCAGCTCGAACCCATTTCAGAGTGTCATTTTGGATCCGAACTCCCTAGTATTGTCCTATTTTCCCTTATCTTCCTCATATTTTGGTATAAGTTCCCTATCTTCCTCATATTCCTTCCATTTTCTCTACATGGACAAAAATCTCAATATCGTTCCTCAATAACACGAAAGAGACAGGAATCAGATCCCAGACTGTATGGCAAGAAAAGCCAAAATAGACACTATCCCCCACTTTTTCATGAGAGCGAACACCACCTCTTCACATAAAAGCTTCCTGTGCAACCACTGGTAATATGCATCTTATATTAATTGGTTAAAACAACACCATAACACCATTGAGCAATCCCCCATAACTTAAGTTGTCATGTGTCCTGATTCAAACTGAATCTTCTGGAGAAACACTGAAGCATTTGGGGATAAAACAGAACTTTTTTCTGTGGAAATCCCAACCTTAAAGCAGAACTCTCCATCTCTGATCCTACATGACTCGAAACACTGCCACCATCTTTGACTGAGACTTTTCAACAGATCAGTAGGAGTACGTCCACATCCAAAAAGCCTCTGCAGATACAAACACACACACACACACATATATATATCCAATCTGTTTGAATAGTCCCATGCACGAATGATCGATGGGAATTCCCACTAAGCTAATTAAAGATACCCTATTCTCTTTTCCTCAGTCCTGCCCACTGTGTGCTAAAGGAACATCAGTCGAGCAGCAAAAGAACACACTCTGAACCACCAACTTTCTTCCTTTAAAACTCCTTCAGCTTCTACCTTGGAGGGAAATCTGAAAAACAACAAGGCATCACCTTAATTGGACACCTTCGGGCAGGTCGGCTCTTCTTCAAAGACCTCGCCACCAATCTGCAATCAAATCTGTTGACGCTGCCCATTCATGGAAGTGATGGACCAAGCAAGGGTCCAAAAATGCAAGCTTTCTTTCTGCATCATCCTTTGACACTTAAACAAGCTTTGATCACCTACCACATATCGTCGCACCCACCTTGCAGGAATAGAGATGGCTACTTTGCTACCTCACCAAGAACCTTTTCATTACAACAACAACAATAACATACCCAGTATTATCCCAAAACCAAGAACCTTTTCATTAACGACAAGAAATCAAACCAACTTGCTACTCATTTTGCCATAACCTAGGCTTAAATTACACAGTAAATCGGCTCTACTCTAACTTCCTAGGATACCCAGTTTCTGACGGAAAAGAACGGTCACTACCTTATGCAGAGAACAGACTCAAAATCTAGAGAGAAGGCAGATGTCTCTCTAAAACTAGCAGTGATGCTTGACTATTAATTTGATAGAACAAATGAAATCTTTATGGAAATTATGTAAGAGTGGATAGCCGTGATGCAATTTTAGATTAAGAATTCAGCAAATAAACCATGTATACAACATTACTGACTAATTGGCATATTTTTCTTGTAGTACATTATATTTTACTTTTTAGTACAAAGTCATGGTACGCATTTCAAGGGTGAATGAGACTAAAACGATAGATTAGCATTTTCACACACCACAAAACCTAAGGAATTTCATTTATAAGAAAAAACAGCTTCAAAATTTCAATTTTCCATCCATATTTCTACCTCCTTTCCAAGCTGCACCATATTGTCAGCCAACCTTCGGACTTCCTTTGCCTGGATTCACATAAAAAAGACAGACGGGATTAATCATCCCAAATACACATTAAATCTAGTACCTTGTCAAATTGAAATTTTAAAAGCTTTCAAATGTTTTGTTACTTATTAGAAAAAGGTAATGTTTAAATGCTTGTCAAATAAACCAAGATATACTTCAAGTTTCAAGGATGTATCGCATTTCAGAAGAACTTACCTTATTTCCAAAGCTAGCTCATTGCAGGTAGGTATGTGTTTCATGGACTATGAGCTCCCTCTTACACTAAACACTAAATATTCTTTTAAACTGTAGTTATGTCAATTCTTTTTGTCTGCATAAATACGGTTTGTTCTTATAGTTATTATTTGCACCTTTATTCTTATAATTAAACAAAATTTATTATTTGCGCCTTTATGCATTAAAGCTTGCATGTTAACTTACGCTTTGCACTTTAAGCCCCAGACCTTGTCACTTTTTCCAGATTTTCGTTTTTGATAACACTGGGACAAGATGTTAACAAGAATATAAAGAACAAAAGACAGCTCTAAACAAGGAGTTACAGCAATTCCTCTCGAGATCATTTAATGTTACACGAAAAAGCAAGTCTTCACCATTTTATTAGAAGCGCATACGCAATCCAATAATGTAGACGAAAAACATAAGGCCCTAAGTAGTCAGTAGAGTTCCTTTTCCTATAGTTCACTCCATATTCTAAACATGCAAAAGTTGCACCATTTCTTTGTCCTAGAGCACTCTATCAACCCATTCAAGCCAAATACACCACAAAGTTACAAGCATAAAACATATGCACAAACATTACCTTCTATATTTTATCAGACCCAAAAAGTTAGAAAGAACTCACTCAAACTACGACACAAACTTCTCTCATCATTACAAATAGCCACTCCAATGCCCTAGCAGAAGTGCAATCAACATCAAATAAGGATGGGACTCCTGCTTTGTATGCACATATACACCAGTCTTATATAGAAGCAAGTGTGGCAGGCGTGAAGTCTAAGATGAACTAAAATCACGGTAAATCGTTTTTGTTTCAAAAGGAACCCTCACTTTCCGGAAAAAGATAACAGACAAAACCAGTTGGAATCATGAACTTAATAATAGAGAAGAAAGACTTGAACCTTAAGACACTCTACGGGTACGAGATGTAGACTGCGTAAGATTACCAATCAAATTGGAAAGGGGCAACTCAATCATCACATCATTGAGGTGCTGTGAAAGTAAGTCCTTTTTTGAGTTACAGAATGATAAGAATGGAACGCCTGTGAATTAGGTAACACAGCATCGGCATATATCAGATAAAGGAATACTGCCTATGAGATCCTCCCTAAACCAAATATGCCCATAATCACCAAGGATAATGGGGAAATGAAGTAATATATTCCTATATCTTGCATCCCAACCATTATAATGAAGAAAAGCCATCCTTGCTTTTGATCACAGCACAAAGAGCTTTTGATAATAGAAAAGGCTTATAGACACCAAGATCCCAAATCCCAACTTAATAAATGGTCTCTCCATGTGTTATGAATCCCTTTACAAAGAAAATCATGCATCAGATGCTCAATTTTCCCAACCACCCATTTAGGAAGAAGTAAATACAATTAGTAAAGACAACAGTAGAAATGCATGACGCAACTCTAGTTATAAAACCCCCTGAAGAGAATAAAGACCATTTTCAACTATCAAGCCTTTAAAAGAAACATTTCAACGCGGGATACCAAAAAGGTACAACGAGTGCGAGTGGATTTCCCCACAAAGGCAATCTGAAAGAATGGAAAAGACAACTCAAGATAGAGAGACCAGCCATTGACCTAAGTCTTTTGATTTTGTAGTTACTCATATGATCCATGGCTGACACTCTCATCCATAATAAATTTCAACGGAGAGCCAATTTTTAATACACTAAGAAGGTTTAAAGGATTAAAAATGTGTAACTCTTCAAACAGAGATGGCCATTATCTACTTCAAATGTTAAAACATTAAGATCATGACTACCTAGTCCAGTATTTGGCCACTGCTGGAGGAACTGTTCGTAGGTAGTAGGGGTGGCAAAATGGTTAAAAAAAATAGTTAACCACCCATATTATCCACTACAAAAATGAGTTGGATAATGAACTTCGTAAAAACGGATCAAATATGGATAAGAACCATATTATCCATTTAGAAAATGGATAACCAATGAGTAACCAATGGGTATAACTTTTACATTTGTAAAGCCTCAAATTGGGGGTTCCTCAAGTTAGGGAGACTAAGAATTCTCCCAAAAGTGATCATATACAAGAAGTAATACCCATATTATGCGCCGATTAACTCGTTTTTTATCCGTATTAAATATGGGTCGGGTCGGATAATTGATCCGTTTTTTTTCATTACCCGTTTTCGACCCGAACCATATCCGACCCGACCCGCCCGTTTGCCACTCCTAGTAGGTAGTAATAAGATAGAGTAATACTCTTCCCCCTCTAACAGCCCACATTATCCATCGCAATTCTGATCGTTGGTATATGCAATTTTCAACATCCAATCAGTACTACCTAACGCAGTAGGGGAAACTTTGGCCAAGTGGGCAGTCTAGCAAAATGAGAAGAGGGAGCTAAAAGTTGTGGAAAATACCCGCTTGTGTAGGTAGATGATCGGACTTTCGAGTGGCGTAATGTACATGGTACACCATTAGTTTTTTATCAGACAGTTTTTTAGTTAACCAATCAATCAAAGAATAACAAATACTAAGATCTTTGCAGAAATACGGACAAAGCTACACTTTTAGCGAAGTGGGTAGCTGAAAAAACACTAAAATAAAAAGCTTCTATTACCTTAGCAACTGTAGTTTCAATTCGCTCGTGCTTTACTAATTGCGACACCATTGTCCTACAACAAACCCATTTGCAATTATATGAAATTCTTCAACAAACACAAAGAGTACATAGGCAAGTAATTAGGAGAACAAAGAGGAACCTGAGCATGGACATACGATGTCCGGTTGGACGATTCAATTTCCTGAATTTGGTCATTTTTGCTCTTGCTCACCGGAGAAATGAGAAAGAGAAGAAGGGAAAATATGGAGAGGGGAACACTGATAGTCTTAAAACCCTGATTTTAGAGGTTTTAGTGAGGATCCAAAACCCGGTCCATTTTTAGCTCATTAGTGAAAGCCCAATTCGGATTCGGACCTTTTTGGTCCCTTATTGAGGGGCAAGTGCACGGATAGCCGATTTTGTACCCCCTATTTTAAGGCATAGCCGAAATCTATAAGTTTAACTATTTCAAATATATGCGACAAAAGTTGCAAAAATTCGTATTTGAAGTTATAAATTTTATCTAAATTTTGGCATATTTTTTGTGAACTTCAGATAGTTCTGTCAGAATTTCAGCATACACGATTGGAGTTTGGTTTGGCGACATTAATGCCTAACTGTTGCCTAAAGTTTTAGCCGAAAGATCTACTACTTTCTATCTTTTTAGGTCCTTTAGACATGTCTGAAATTAACCTTGCCAATTACTAACTTCAGAAATATATTACTAAAGTTTATAGTTAAAATATTTCCAAATATCAATAATAATAATCTCTATCTCTTTACCATTCCCACAACGTATGCTAATACTTTTCTTGTAACTTCTCTTATAGTTTTTTATTCCATCAAACAACTTTACTATATTAGCTCTCAAGGAGTCAAAGGATGCAACAACATCGTTTACAATCCAACTAGGAAAAGTAAAAACCCAAATAATTCTATGTAAGTGCGAGATAGAAAACTTGGCTAAATTATGTGCTAAGACATTCCAAGATCTAGGAATATATGCAATATTCATATTTTTAAAAGAATTCATCATCTTCCAGATATCTTCACACAAGTAGTCTCTATCTCCCATGAGACCACCATCCTTTTTCTTATCATAAGCACCATATTTTTTTGCATATGATAGAATATGCACCTTTGACCATCCATTTTCAATAGTAGCTTTTTCCAAAGCTTCACGAATTGGTAGTGCTTCAGCAGTAATGGCCTTTCCAACAAATTGAATTGTGATGCCAAATGCTTGAGGCAAATGACCACAGCTATCCATAGTCGCCACTCCAATGCTTGCTATCTTCTTTTGCAATTGTAATCTAGCATCTGCAAACATAACAACACCATCTTGTGCGACAATAATATTTTTATTATCAGAGCAGTCAGATATGTGGGAAGGAGAAGAGATAGAAAGCAAGTATGTTCATATTCGTGAAAATCAAAAAGTGCTTTGTTTACAATTTCATTAGATTCACATATATCCCTATTAAAATTTAACAAATTTCTAGCCTTCCAAATTTGCCACATGATTGAAATGCTTAGTTTAACAATTTCAATAGATTCAGGATATTTATTAGCATTAATAAGAATATCATACCACCATGCAGCAAAATTTAAAGTATTTTCTAAGTTAGGCCAATTAATAGTACTCAATTTTCAAACTAACTTAGCTTTATGTCATTTAAAGAGCATATGATCAATAGTTTCATTTTCTAAGTCACATACCTTACATACATCACATACAGATTCAAACATTCAGAAATAGTACAATTAACAACTAGCACATTCAAAATACATTTCCTAATAAATGTTTATATTTGTTCTTAATGTTCAAGGACCATAAGAATTTCCGAAAAGCTTTTGAAAAGGAGTGATGATTAGATTGGGGTCTAGCATTGTTAACCTCCCTACATCTTGCAATTTTTTTAGCTAAATGATAACCCAATTTAACCTTATCATTACCTGACTTAGAGTAATGCCAAATAATTCTATCCAAAGAGCCCGTAATAGAGATGGGGATAGATAAAATTGCATGAATATCATCAATACAAAACAAATTCTAAAGATCTTGCAACTTACAAGTATGCGTCTATTGATCTATAAGGGCACTTGTAACTCTGTATTCACTTATGTATGATAATGTTGGGTTTAAATCCACTAGAATTAGGAATCAAAGAATCATTCCAGACCTTAATATTTTTACATGTTCCTACCCTCCATTGAATCCCTTTTTGTAGCAACTCTCTTTCCCGAATAATACTTTTCCAAATCCAAGATATAGATGATGAAACAATAGCTTTATGAAAATAATTATTTTGAAAATACTTACTTTTGAGAATTTTAACAAGTAATGAATCTTGTTGAGTTAAAATTCTCCAAGCAAGTTTAGCTAACAAAGATTGGTTAAAAGATTTTAAATCTCTAAAAACAATACCACGTTTTGATTTTGCTAAAAAAAGATTCTCCCATTTTACAAAATGCATTTTTCTCCTATCCTCATTTTGCCCCCATTAGAAATAAGAAAAAATAGTAGTAATCTCTTTGCATATGAGTTACGATCCGATCGGTCGTTTTGAGCATTTGCATTCAGTTCGGCGGTTTGAGGTTACGAATAGCTTCACATGGTGTATTATGACTTGTGTGTATCGTTGGTTTTGATTTTCGAGTGGTTCGTGATTGATTTGGATGAATGTTCATTTTAGAAGCTTTAAGTTGGAAGAGTGGACCAAGTTTGACTTTTTGCGCATTTGATCTCAGATCGGAGATTTTGATGGTTCCGTTGGGTTTGCACGGTAATTTTGGATTAGGACGTATGCTCGAAATTGAATTCGGAGGTCCTTAGATTGATTTGTCTTGTTATGCCGAAAGTTGGCATTTTAAGGTTTAGACTTTTCCTAAGTTTGACCATGGTTTGAATTTATGACTATCGAGTTCAGATTTTAATTTTGGAACTTGGAATAGGTCAGTGTTACTATTTGAAACTTGTCTGCAAAATTTAGGATCGTTTGGAGTTGGTTTGATATGATTCAGTCGCTTGGTTGCAATTCTAGAAGTTCTTGAAATTCATTGTGATTTTCATGCATTTTGGTATCCTATTCGTGGTTCTGAATGTTATTTTGGTATTTTGATCGCGCCAATAAGTTCGTATGATATTTTTACACTTCAGTGAATATTTGATTTGGAACCCCGAGGGCTCGGGTGAGTTTCGGAGTGGTTTCGAATTGGTTTTGTTAGAATTTTGTGTGCTGGTACTGGTTCCATCGCATTTGTGATGTTTTGGTCGCAAATGGATAACCACATTTGCAAGGTCATCCTCACTTTTGTGAATCTGGGATGCTGGGGAAGGGACCTCACACATGCGAAGATTGTATCTCAATTGCGGAGACTGGAGGCTCACTTTTGTGGCATTAGAGTCGCTTTGCGACGAGCCACTGGGGAAATACCTTAGCATTTGCGAAGTTTATTGTCGCAAATGCGATATTAGCAGGTCTGGCTTGGTTCTCTTTTGCGATCCTTTTTCTGCAATTGTTGGGTTCATATTTGCGAACCCCAGGTCGCATTGTCGCAAATGCGACATCTGCAGCTTATTTATAGCTGAGTGTTTCGGGCTTTAACTTCATTTTATCATATTTTGAACCTAGACTCGGTGGGAGGCGATTTTGTAGAGATATTTTCATACCAAACTATTTGGTAAGTGATTTTAATCAATTTTTAATTATATTATAGGATAATTTATGAGATTTAACATCAAAATCAAGGGATTTAAACGGAAAATTTAGGGATTTTTGTCTATGATTTGAAAAATAAAAATTTGAGATTTAAGAGTCGAATTGGACTCGAAATTGAAAAACAAACCACATATATGAACTCGTAGGGCTATGAATAGTCGAGACTTATCCTTCGACTTGGGTTTTGATCGGGGCGTTGGGGTTGACTTTTGGGGGAATTGTATAAAGATCATAACTTTATTAATTGGAATTGGTTTCTCCTGCATTGTTTGATATTATTAAGTTATTTTTGGCTAGATTTGAGCCGAGCGGAGGTGAATTCTTAAGGAAAAGCTATTTTGAGTATTGATTTGGCCTAATTGAGGTAAGTATCTTGCCTAACTTTATGTGGGGGAAACTACCCCGTAGGATTTAGGTTGATTGTACTATTTGAATTGTGTGGAAGACATGTACAAGAGGTGACAAGTGAGTACAAGGGCTTATATGTGGTATTTGACCGGTTTAGACTCATAGGCTTCTTTTATGCATTAAATTGAAGTTGTTAGCACATGTTCTACCTTTTATTGTCAAGCCTACTCTTATATGCTTTAATTGTTAATTGCAATGACTTGTTGAATTTATGCCTTTATCCGTTATATGCCTTACTTACTAATTGATTCTTTATAACCGTGTCTTTATTTATGAACTGTCCTCACCTGCTATTTGATTTCTGTCATATTGTTATTTTATCCGCTTTGTGACTTTCTTTATTTAGCTCCTTTATTGCGTTTAATTTTGTGATATGCCGTAGTTAGTTGTAGTTTGTTCATTCAATTCATATTGATTGGGATTTCGAGGTGTTGGATATTATCCGTTGTATTGGTGATTCTTTAATGTTTCACATGTTTCATTTTCTTTTGTGTTGATATTTCATAAAAATTGGTGTTGAATTGTTTATGTTAATAATTTGATATTGTTGGGATTAGGTTTCATGTCGCACCTGAATATGGAGAGATAAGAATGGATGATATGATATATGTGGGATTGGATTGCACGTCGCAACAGATTGATATGTTGTAATTGTTGTGATAGTAAAGTTATCCTTGAAAGTACAAGCGGGGGGGGGGGGGGGGTAGGCAAATTGTAGTCGATTTGTAAAACTTAGTTGGCTATGTAGGAATTAGTCGACTAAACTTCACACAGGAATTAATCGCAGTAGAAATAAATTGAGCAAACAGAAAAATAAATAAGACACAACAGTTTTTATACCGGTTCAGTACCGGTGTGGTACCTACATCCAGTTCTCTTGGGTCACAAGGGTTCTCTTAGATCTTCAGTAAGCTTTTACAACAGTGATGGTTTTAGTATGTTCGCTACCAATGATATACAGAAACAAGGTTTCTTTCTAGTGTTGACACAACTCTTGTCTTGTTTTCTAACTCTTTCTATCTTGTGCGACACTTGTGGACTCAAGAATACAGTGATTGTACTAAGAACTAGAAAGGTGTATAAACAGATGTGAAGTTGTGTAATCTTCTTTGCCCTTCTACTTCTTCTTTTATAGCTTGATGAGTCTTCAAATTCCTTATCTTCTGGGATCACATAGCAGCA